AATATTATATATTTTTAGAAATACGCCAAATAAAATTGTCATAAGATGAATATTTTTTGTCAAATTTGACATAATTTAATAACTCACATTTTAGGTTATTTTATCTCTAAAAAATCAGCTCGCCAATTTAGTTTTTAAAAACAACCAACGTTTACAACGCCATAAATTTGATTCAGTCCTTTAAATCTTTTAATTAGTTAAAAAATAAGCCAGGGCAATTGATTATGTAAGTATACACCCTCGTGAAATAATCCTAAGCGATCATTAAAGTTGTGCATCATACAGCCTAAAAATATATTATATTTTAGCGTACGCCAACGTTCCCGAAATTCATTTTAATTAATTTACAGATTTCATATAAAAACAACTGTAGTAAGTAAAAGTTGATCTCCTAACAATAGATGGTCAAGTGGACCAGTGTTGGCTTTAAATGAAGCGAGAGGTCCATCAGATCTAAAAATTTAAATAAATTGTAACTTTTCTCGTGTTTAGTTCTTCCAAAATAAGCTATTCAGTATTTATTCAAACGGCAATGTTAAACAATAATAATTTTACAATGTATGGCGTTTAATTTTCACTAATAATTTGATTTCTGATTTCTGATACAGTGTCAATTTTCAGTATTAGACATTAAAAAAATTATTTTATAGTGGCTTCCGTATCTGAAATGGCTCATTTTGCTTTGGACTCCAGTTAGAATTGCTACAATTTTTTGAGAATGTTAAATGTATCCCATGTTCATCTGGAATAGGATATAGTTTCCTAGCAGCGAAAGAATTTTCAAAATCATTCAGTTCAGCAGTTTTTAGTACCTACTAGAGATCAATTTTCAATCGGAAAGAAATTTTTCGACTTTAGTAAAATCTGTGTTTAAAAATCGGTTCGCCTATTACCTACAAAATCGGTTTTGTTTAGAAATTCCTAAGAGTGTACACCTCGACGCTAGCCCAGCCGTAGGTATGACCGATGCCTTTATAGTTGTCACGTAAACGAAAGCGTGTGGTGCTTTGAGAAAGGTGGCAATATCAGATTTGAAAACAAGTTTCGGTATTTACACGGGCCACAACAGTCAGTGGTTGGTATTATAGATACCTATACATACGAGAGACAGGACAGGTGCACACACGGTCGAGGAATTTTCGACGACCGATGAAGAAGACACACTGTCAACAACAAACAACAAGACAGTCGTACTGTTTTTTTTACCTACTGTTTACTTTATCTATCGTTAATAAGTTTTAGTTAGCTCATCACTTTACACAAGCGCAACTAAATTGCGCACTCTTTTGACTACGTGTACCCAAAATGCGCACTCGACCCTTATGTACCTAATTAAGTTTTGTTTGTCAATTAACTAACATTAGAACATCAATTGCAAAAGGTTTTTTTAAAAATTTGAGTACCTTGCAATAGCAATTGAGACGGTACTACAAAATTAATTTTTTCGTTTAAAATTGAATGAAAGTGTTATAAAATAATGTTTTTTATTAATTATTAGTTTTTAACTAAATTCAAATACTTACTTACAGTATGGTTATTATACAAGTCACGGTATGCCTTGCGCTTAATAATTAAAAATCTTAAACATTTTACAATTCTGTATTCGATAATATTGTACAAATTTAATTTTAAATTTACATTAAAAAATGAATTTTATAGTACCTATTTGTAAAGCTAAATCATTATAAAATATAAATAAATTAAATCACAGGCAATACGTTCTGATTAGACATTTTCTGATCGACCGCCTGCATATTTTGTTAGTGCCATACTTTGTTATAATATTGAACTGCCAATTTCTTTTAGTCTTTAGCATTCTAAGAAAATAGGTAATTATTTTTTCAAAAACGAGTAAATTAATTTCACCAAACGGACCTATAAATGTGGAATTACTAACAACATCCAAAAACTATTAAAACAAATAATGAAAGATATTCCCTCCTTTAATGTGCAAAACATTTAATTTAATATTTCTGATTTATGATCAGGAGGTAAGTCTCTCTGGACTGAGGCATGCTTGGATGAATTATCGTTTTTTATAAAGGTCTAAACTCTAAATTCTGCGCCACGGTCAGGTAACGAAATCGGTAACCTAGACCCGGCGCTCTGCAGGTGTACCACATTGGTAAATATTTCTTAAAATTAACAAGCAAGTAAAACGAAAACTTACCGAAAAGCATCTTCGTTTTGACGATTTGCTGAAGGCATTCCCATCGTTGCGTATAGATGTTTCTGTTATCGAGCACTATACTGTGAAGCTTTCTATTTCTCTTTCTTTCATTGCCTTTTTCGTTACTTTTACTGTAGTTGTTAGGTTTTGTTAGGGATATTAAATAAGAGACGTGGATTATTTTAAAAACATTTTCGATTTAATTTTTTGTCACACCGTACAACGATATATAATTATAATAATAAATATGTACACATTCAATCTATAAGACCAAACGTCGATGAACGAGAACCAGGGTTGTTAAATAGGTAGTATAAGATGTTGTACTTCGGATTTTTATTTTTATTATGAGTCGATCCTCCAACCAGTCCAATATTGATGATGCGCGTCACGAAATCGAAAAATTTTAACAACGAAACAATCTTTTTTATACGCAATATGTAGGTACTTCTTTGCAATATTAAATGCATTTTAACGACATTGCTCTGTACATTTTAATTTTTAATTTATTTCATTATTGTATAAAACGTCCGTTGTCTCTGATTTTTTTGTTTGTTATTGGTGAGTGAATTTTTTTAAATCACGGCGGTATGCGTCGCTACTTATGTATATCGTATAAGGGTCCACTGTTTCATGTATATGTACAATGTCTGACGTTCTACATTATATTACACTTAGTTTAGTTACAGCGTCATTATCACTTGTTTCTTCTCTTTAGAAATATTTACAGTTCATCCATTTCATTTTATTTACAAGTTTGTCGCACTCGCACTTTCTTTAAGTAAAGCTCTCGATATAAATCCGGACTTTTCTTTTCAACAGCTCAAGCATTAACTTTTAGTGAGGTAGTCGAAAAAACGAATTGAATCGCTTATCAGTTAATACTCGAATCCTTTTTATACAGGTAGTGATCGATCCTTATTCTGTTAACGGATATTCTATTTGTCTGCATTCGTATTTTCCGACGGACGAAAATCTCTGGAATCGTTTTCATTTTCGTCGAATGACTATTAACGTCGTCATCGTCGGTTAATTGTTTATAGGGCACATAATAGCTTAAGGAGGAGACACGATAGTTGAATGATAGAGCGCTAACCGTTATCGCTGTGCTGCAAAAGAGAAGCCCAGCGGGCTGGATGCTAGTGAGCAGTCAGCTGGTGGCTCATCCCCTGAGGCGATAACATTGGTGGACTGTGCGAATGCGAATGCTGACCCATCGGCGATGACCCGTGAACGTCTGGATGGTGACCGTATCCAGGATGCATATGACTACCTGGAGGCATACCGTCCATCATTTCGTTTCCTATCGTGTTAGGAGGTGTCATTCTTTTCTCCTTTTGCCTCCTATTGCAAAACCACACCCTCACCACTTCTTTCTCTAATTGTAAACTGTCCGCTAAATTTGTTATTTCTTGTGCAGAAGGTTTTGGTTGTTTATGAAAGTGTTGCTCAAGAGCACCCTTCACCGAGACTTCTATGCTCGTTCGCTTTTTTCGTTTTCGTCCCTGCGCAGCTATTTTATCTATCGACGTAGGTGACCCCGTCGTTGAGTCGGCCTCTTCAAGCCACTTTTGCAACAGCGGTTTTAACTTGCACATATTTTTAAAACTAAGCTGTAACGCTTCGAACCTACATATCGTTGTTTGCGAGAACACGTTGCCATATAAAGTTCCTAACGCTAACCCCACATCCGCTTGCGTGAACCCTAACTTTATCCGTCGTTGTTTGAATTGCTTGGCGAAAGCTTCCAGATCGTCACTGGTTGGTGTTTCTTCGTCTCCTGGACCGACATCGCGATCGGAATGTTGCGGATGATGCGGACTCTGCATATCCCGCGGAAGATGATGGAGCTGGGGAGCAGCTTGATGATGAGCTAGCATCCCGTTCATCGCTGCATGATATTGCTGCAGCGGTGAGCCTGCTCCGCCGGGATTGTAATGAGCCGACGATACAGGTGCATGCCATGCATGAGGTGAGCCCATACTTTGCTGTTGCTGCTGCCTGTGCATCATGTCAGCTTGTTGAGTGAGCGGTTTGACATCTTGATGGGGATGATGGTGATGCGGATGGTGCATGCCGGCCATCGAGGCGGCCCATGGATCTGCACCAGGTTGCAAGCTCACCCATGGATTTGCCGCCGACAGTGATACGGGATGACCATTAGGCGACGGTGAGCTGGCCATCTGGTGATGGTGATGATGGTGGTGTTGTGGTAAATATTTCATTTCGCTGGCGTCGGCCGCGGATCTGGGTGATGCACTAGCATGGTAGCCTCCGACGATGTTCATGCCGACCACACTGTTCCCGTCCAGATCCGAGGTAACAGCACTACTGACCGGCAGGTACGTGGCGGCCGCCATGCCCTGATGAGGGCGCCAAGCCGTCGTGTCGGCACTTTATTTTTCACGCGCGTATACACAAAACCCCGCAACCCTCTCGAACCTTTACGCTACTACGGGCCACTACTACTACTACTTTAGTAACGCGTTCTTTGGGCTCATGTGTTATCAAATTGGGTTCACATACACATAACAACTCGGCATGCACTAGTGCACTGAGACTCGATCCCGCTTGTGTCTGAATTGACTTCCTCTCTGGGGCCCCTCCAAGAGGTTGCGCGCGCCATTGGACTTGCCTCAACGGTAGTCTACACATGACGTCACGGAAAAGGTTCGGTGGTACTGGCTTAGTGTCCTCCGAAAGACCGCCTAGTCCTTCTTCCCCTCCATGGCGGGGAAGTGTTTACACTTGGCGGGACACCGTAACTAGGCAACCGAGCGTGCTCTAACACCACACAGCACACTCTGATGACGCTGACGACGACGTAGGTCATCGAAACGGTGCGACCGACGGCGGAAGAATCAACGCAACTACTTTCATTTGGACCTATTTTATTCGATTCTAATATGAAAACCACTTTTTTTTGTTGTAGACATCTTAAATCTTTTTAAAACCAAAAAAAAAGGTAACAGAAACTGATCGCTTAGAAGGAATATCGCTTACACTAGAAAGCGGGATATATTCGATAAAAATATGATATCTACCTGGAAAGGTACTTTACAAATTATGACATGGGTAACTCACTTAGGAAACAAATGTTTCTTTACTTATTCATTTTTAAAAGTTGCGAATAGTGTTGAAAGGTACCTACTACCTACCTACCTACCTTAAGTTAATTTTTGTACTTTTCAATACTTTTATCCTTCCGACCTGTTTTACATACTTACATACATACATATTTACGATTATATTGGTGCTTTGAAAAAGAGTGTCATCCCTATTTGTAGATACATAATCAATAATGTAAGAACATAGCGGTTTAACACCTTGATTCATCCCTGTAGGATTGGGGGGAATTACCGATGTGAAAATTATTGTTGGTAAACAGGCTCGTTGATGATGTGCAGCAATGTGGTGGGCACGTAACCATCGCGACAATGCAATTTCGGTTTTCGGTCACCTGTTGCAGATCCAGACTGAGCAGAATTAACATTATAATTTGCAATACAATAGAGGCCTTAGCACTTGCACCATCAGGCTTATAAATATGTATTCGAATCTAGAACGTTTCGGGGTGCCTGTCCGTGCCTACGCCGATGCTGCTACGTGAGTTGCCGTAGTGTTGTGATCTGACCTACGAAGAGCCCCCTACAGCGATACCAGTGGAGATCCTCGATACCTTATAATTAACCCACTAATAAAGTATTGTAATAAGCCTTTAAATACTTAACCAGATAAAACAGTTCATTCACCAAATCGTATAATCGAGGTATCTGTAAAGTTGAAATATTTAGTCACACTTTTTTTTTAAGGATGTTTGGGAGGTACAATCGGAGACAAGAGTACATAAAATTGGAAATTCGTGATTAATTAGGTTTTGCAGCATATCATGAGGTAAATAAATACTATCTATACTAGAAAAAACTATACGGTTTGAGAGAAAATTTGGAATTTGACTAAAAACTTTGAATAAAATAAGATATAACGAATAACATGGAAAATTTTTAACTGACTTTTGGCAGTGAATATGCCTTGATTTCAACTTNATGAAGTATTAAATTAACAAATAATTAAATAGTGTGATGATAAAAGTAAAACGAAAAAACATTGGCAGGAGTACAGGAAAGAACATAGGGTACCTTCTAACGAGAAAAAGATGTTCCCGAGGATAGCAAAAATTTCTCTTCATTTCGAAAATGAAGGACGTTATTTACTGTCATTCTACTCAAAGTGTACCCGACTAGAAATTTCGGTTCGTTTTTTTTAAGGTCCTTATTAAGCTAGCCGAAATCCTTACTTGTTCCGAATGAGGCAGCCGAAGAAGGCCCTAGTTAGAAAAATAACGCACTTCCCTGTTCGTAATTAACCAGGAGTGCCCGAATTAGGGATCTAATCCGGACGAAATTAGGACCTTAATTAGCCCGATTAGAAAATTATTTATTTAGATTTTCATTTCGGGTTTGTGTTTATCAATTTCTTGTTTTTTCGATTCAAAATCCGCTAAAGTACATTTGTGTTTTCAATGATACAATACAAGGGTGTACTTGGTGACTTAGTTTTTGTAAGCATTGAACTACAAATTTATGAACTTCGTTTATTTCAGCTAGTCCGTCTAATGTTATTCCACAATTTGGGTCCAAAATACCTAAAAACTGATGCTTAGAAATATGATTGGGATTTAATTAAGGCCTAAAAAGTCAAACTTTAGTGAAAATCAAAATTATGTAACTAAAAGCTAAGCAGGTAGCCTTGATAAAGATCCCGACCTAGGAGCAAAACGTTGACCTAAATTGCGAATAAATCCAAAATTAATTAATCAGAAAAAGTTCATAGTTCTCATTTAAGGATAACAATGTTGTGGAAATCCTTGTACTCCTGAAGTGGTAGGTTTTTATACAAGTCCATAAAATCTAGTTCAAAACACTGGGCGACCTCTCGTAGAGACTAGCTACATTGTATTAGTATTTCCAGCATGAGCTTAGACATTTTCTTTCTCTCTGATTTTTGGTAGGTAGGTATTCCTAGATTTCTCAAATTCACGCACATCAATGCGACTTTTTTACTTCGACGTCCTGAATACTTTTTGCCTTTCCATCATTTCATATTATCTACAATTTGAAACAAAACTTAATCAAAATTAAGGAACAAAAAGAAAGATGTTTAAAAAATACATTGGGTAATTTTCCGCAAATTATATATTATAATTTTTCTTGTGGTAGGTACAATTTTGGACTAATTTGCAAATAATATTGACAAAATCTACATGTTAGGTCGTAACTATTTGTGTTAGATACTTTGGTTTTAATACCAAAAAGTTATAATATCAAAATAAAGCATTTAGCAAAACGCAGATGAGGCTTTACGCTTTATAAAAACCGATTTTAGAAAAGTGAGAAAACCCGCACATGTACTTAACTTTCCTTGAGACCATCAAAGTTTTTGATCTGTGTTCTTTCTACGAAAAAGGAAAAAAGAATGGCATAAAAATTTTGAGGGCCTCATGAAAGGTTACGTAGTTTTAGTTAGTTACCTATTTTAAGTATTTTTTTTACATATACTTATCGAAAGTACGATTTATTTACTACTTTTATTAGAAAAGAATTTTATCATCTTCTGCGTGAGGAAAAACTAAACTGAGAAGTTTTTTGATAGCGGTTAACGTTTAATAATATTCAAACATTAATTAATATTAACTTAATTCAATTTCCATCCACTACAAATTGCTGCTACTGTTACATCCTCGCTAGGAATCGAACCTGGGTCCTTTGCCATTACGCACTACACCCGGGTCCTTATTGTTTAACGTTTCATTTCGTTAATTACATTAGCTCCTTAATTGTGTAGAATAAACCTAATACGTGACAATGTAACTGTTTTCGATTTTTGTAACGGCTTTTTCATGTAGTAGGAAATCGCTTTCCGTTTTTTCGCTTCAGTGTTGTACCTACGTACATACGTCGTGTATTATCAGAGAGAACATGCGGAGGTACATAAGGTACTTCCTTAAAAACGAGATCAGGTTGATACCACCACGGACGCACAAAAGACTAATTCAACTGGATGTTACAAAAAAAAAAAATCACAAAGAAACGAACAATAATAACGGCCCCATTGAATGAGACAAATCAGTTTACAGAATATACGTATACAGACACACACACACACACACACAGAGAAAGGTTATCTGTCTATTCTTCCAAGTTCAGTTGAGAGGTTCGAAACCTTGGCGGGCAGATGAGAGCAGATAGGGTGGTGGCAAGGGTAAGGGTCAAACACAGACAACAGAACGACACGAACGACGCAAAACGATGAAACAGGGAAGATATTTCTCTCAAGGGCTTGAATTACGTTTAAAAACGTACAATACATACCTATATACATATACGATATTTTAACGAAATTGTTACTTAGTCCTTTAGAGAAGAAATACTTGACTATTAGTCACAAAAGTTTTATAAAGTATTTTCTGGTTTATTTCTAGGGATGTAAAAATGATTTTCAAAAACATCGCCTAATACAATTATTGATGATTTTGTATATTGAATTTTTCAATATTCAAGTAGCTTTTGCTACCTAATCAAGTCAAGAACGTATCATACAAGTAAACCTTAATATTTTGAGCATACCACTTCTTTTGGCATTGGATACTAAGCACCTAATACCATTTCCAACACTGTATTTTTTTTATGAATAAAATTTTCATAAATTCAAACAAATTTCAAAGTGTGATATTAAGTATTTTCAGCCAAAGTAGATCTATTATTTGGACAATTTCAAAGCCTTTTTTTCTGGTTTGATAGTTTCCAAATCGATCCCGACATCATCTAAGGTTGTAATTATACATTTTATCTACAAAGTTCTTAGGTTCAAATACAGTACCTAAGAAACCTTTAAACTTTTTACAAATTATATTCTCGAATGCCAATTAATTACATAGGAACATAGTAGCAGTTTTCGTCGAGTCGCATTTTCTTTTCGTTTCAAATATTTGTATTTAGGTGTTAGGTAGGTACCTACCTATAGGACCATCCTATTCTAACAATTTTTATGGTAGCCAGGCTCCTTCCTGTCAATATAAAAGCTATTTTAAACATCTGGGGTATTTTCCCTCGCACTCTCAGGTGTTGCGTCTACCTCAAAATCGAACTGCATAGGTGTTTTGTGACAGTAAGATTTGTCATGCACGGCTCCAATGCCGCCCACATCAAGACACACTTGCAAAGAAAACCCTCCAAAAAATATTTAACGAATCATTCGGGGGGTACAAAAAGGAAGTGAAATTTAATATTAAACTTCCACAAGTATGTTTATGTACATATGTACAATTGAACACATGAATAGCAAATACTTTAATAAGAATATTTAAATTTTGAATAAGTTGTTGCTTTCTTTATGATAAGTGCGTACGCTTTTTTTAATTTTTAATGAATTAGTATTATCTAATTACTATTCCCTCCCCACTTCTGAAAACAGAATGGCACAGGTAGTAAAAACAAATTCTTTATATTAAATTTTTGCTTAAATTCAAATGTATATTTAAAAACTGTAAA